GGGGGGGGGGGGGGGGGGGGGGGGGGGGGAGACACGGCTGCTAAACCATAGCAAGATTAAAAACAAACAACACGTGTGAAAACTGACAATGCACACAAGCAGAGGAGCAGCACAGACTCACTTGGAGCACAGACAGACAGCAGCAACAACACGTTCACTTCAGTGGAGCAGCTAATGCTAACTAGTGTGCACAGACAGTTAGCAGCCTGTTAGCTCGCAGGGAGCTAACGTGGCTAAACGCTCCTAAAAAAAAAAAAAAAGACAAACTCACCGAGGAGGAGAGCGACTCCCAGTTTGGCGACGGCGGAGGGAGTCAGCCCGAGCTTGTGTCCGATGCCCGAGAGCCCGTTCGGGTGGGAGCTGCTGCAGGCTTTGCCCTCCCTGCCCGGTCGCCTGGTGTTACTTTTGACAAGCGGGCTCTTGTCGCGGTCAGCCTGGGTCGCTGCACTCTTCCCGGTCTGCTTTCTGTTTTTAGCCACCATGGTTTACCCCAGGAGAGAGCCGAGGAGGGGTAGTTAGGCAGCGGAGTCAGCCGTTCAATAGTACCCGACTCTGTGTGTGTGTGCGGTGTGTGTGTGAGCAGCACAGTTCTTTGCTGCTATCTGCTCCTCGGATCTGCCCCCCCTTTTTTTTTTTACTACCTGAGTGATGCTGGTTGAGACACTCGTAGAAAATCTTGTGAGGCTTCGCCCCCTACTGGGCGTTTGGTGCCACTGCAGGGAGCTTTCTGGCGGTAACCACGGCAACGACAACTAGGGTACCATACAGCAGTGCCCACCACCCCCCCCAGTGATGATGCCCCTTTAACTTAAGGGATGCTTTTTCTTGTATTACTTAACTTTTTTTATTTAATTTTGAATATAGCATGCTGAAAAATGTAGACCATGGTCCTCAACCTTTCACCCCGCTTCCACAAGAGTGTGACATGATGTTAAAAAATATAATATAATCCAGCCACAAGATTATTATTTTTTAATTTAACCATGCGACAAGTAGGGTACCATACAGCGGTGGCTCCCCCAATGTTGATGCCCTTAAGCTTAAGGGATGCTTTTTCTATCATTTACTAAAACCTAAAGGCCCCTTGCTAAGTGACATATTTTATGGATATTTAATATTATAATCAAAACTGTACAATAAACCCAAATTGTGCCTCCTCTGGCTCATTTCAGGCACTGTTTTCTATATGCTATAACTATTATTTTAGGGGCTTTTTAGGGATTTTAATTTGTATAGCATGCTGAAAAATATAGACCATGGATCTCAAACTGTCGGCCCTTCACCCCGCTTCCACAAGAGTGTGACATGATGTCAAAAATAAAATATAATCCAGTCACAAGATTATTATTTTTTAATTTAACCATGCAACAAGTAGGGTACCATTCAGCAGTGGTTCCTAATGTCTTCTTCTTAAGGGAATCCCTTTTCTATATTTTAGTAAACCAACGACCCCTGTCTAAGTGACATATTTTATGGATATTTCATATTTTAATCAAAACTATATGTTAAATTTGTGTGAAACAAGCGATTTGTAGAAACTCTACTCACACAAACTAAAAACATATATACACAAAATATCTTACATCTCTTGTAAATGCACACACTTTTATTCAGAACAAATTAAACTCTTTCCCCATTTCAGCTGTCATTCAGGGAGGTAATTCTCAACCTCAAGAGTCCTGACCCCCCCATATTAATCAGGTTGGTGTTCACGAACCCCCGCCCCCCACGTGTAGCATATGAAAGCTACTAAACTCATGTCTGCTTTAGGCCTAAAAGCACAATAATATATAGAAATACATTCTCTTATTACTGAGGACACAGCCTTTAATGGTATACAGAGTTCTTGTATATGTTATATATATATATGTTGCACTATATGTTATATTGTTTTATTCTCTAAAACCATTTGGTGACCAACCGGAGATTATCTCACGATCCCTTTGGGGGTTCCCCAACCCCCAGGTTGAGAACTACTGATTTAGGGTCTTTTATTTGTAGCATGCTGTTAATATAGACCAGGGACCTCAAACGTTTGCGTTTTTGTTAAGTATGATGTTAGCAATTGAATTATTTAGTACCAGTAGTGGCCAGTTTGAGTTTAAGACCCCTGATGTAGACCATAAATGTAACCACAATGGGAAAACGGGGCGCCAGGATAGCTCACCTGGTGGAGCTGGCATCCCATGTACCAAGGCCGAGTCCTTGCTGCAGTAGCCCGGGGTTTGGGACCAACCTGAGGCCCCTCTCTCTCTCTCCCCCCGGTTTCTGTCACTCTTCAGCTGTCCTATCAATTAAAGACAATAAATCCCATATACGATATATACTATACATTATCTATAACTTAATCACCATAATATATATATATATAGTTAAGCCAGGTGTTAAGGCCTTTTTCCTTATTATTCCTGTTGGTGTCATACGCACCAGCATTGTGAAACCAGTAGAGGTCACTAAAGGACCACGATATATTTACACTCTAAAATTCACAATTCAACATTTAGACTCATAACACAGTGTCTGGTTGTCTGATGAGATTTAGCTTACAGCATTATTTACTTGAGTCACATTGGCTTTATAAACCCAACTTTCATGCTTTCTTTCTTTCTTATTTCTTAAAAAAATCCTTTTCTTCATTTTGTTGTTCTTACTCTGTTTCAACAAATGCACATATTTTATTCATATTCATTCACCCTGCTCCAGCCTTGTTATCATCATCTGTAGATGGAAGAGATTCTGCAGATTTATCAGCCATAAAGGGGAGAATGGAAATTGTGTTTTCATAAAAAACATGGCAAGTGAGGATCCTGGCAATTGAGCAGGCTAGCAGACAATAGTCCCTTTAGGCTCAGACATTGGTGCCATAGTTTCAAATTAGATGGTGCGTGATGCTCTGGCGACAGAGAACAGGAACATCAGGAAAGATGAGTTGATCTCATCTGTTTAGCTTGGAGAAGGACAGGGAGGGAGCAAGAAGGGGGAAAAAAACATAATGACAGCTTCTCTTAAACTCCACAAACAAACACCCAGAGCGGGAATCCGCGCACTGATTCCCGCTCTGGGTGATGTGGTGGTGGGTTTGGGAGGTGTGTGTGGGTGAGAAAACCAGGAAGGGATGAGAAGTTTTGGGAGACGGTGTGTTTGTTTTCTCCGCTGGCTCGGTACTGGGAGCCAAAAGCTGCATGTGAGAATCTGTGAGAATCAGCGGAGAGAGAAAGAAAGAAAAAAAAGGAAGATGAACATGGAGTTAAAGCTGCAGACATCTGATCAGCGAGTCTAAGCATGTTGGAAAAGTAATATTAGATCATCTCACAGGATTTTGTGGCTTTGACCTTTGCACTTTATCTAGTCACATAGTTTATGTAATGTTATACTATTCCTGTCAAATCCATTGTTTATTTTGCTCCCCATTAGTTCTATTAGTGTTCTGGTGCTACTGTATTTAATGGGTTTAAAAAAATGTGGATATTTTTGAGACAGTTTGAGTCGTTGGTATTCATGGGAACTATTAAAATCATAATTAATTAAATAAAAAAATAATTAAAAACTGATGGGTTGATTTCTGATTTATAATTTATAAACCTATAATTCACTGAGTTAGAGGTGAAAATATTGGGACAGGAGCAAGAGGGAGCTCAGGCATCAGAGAAGCACATGGAGAGAAAAACAGTGTGTAGAGCCAGAATATTTCCAACCCTAACTTAGTGATTTAAGTTTTTCTTTTTTTTAATTGACCAAACCAGAGTTGGTGATTGTTGCAGCCATTTTCCAGAATTTATAGATACCTATCAGTTTCACTTGAGGAAATTATTTGGAAATGAATGTCTGGGACCCATAAAATAAAGTGTTACTCCATTTTCAGATAGGATAAATGTACTTAATGTAGTTACAACACGAGCCCACCCTGCATGTTAAACAATAATGTTATTGAAGACTAGCATTCATCATTGGCTTCTCCAATGTCTGACAGTGTTTACCAACTTTCCTTTTCTTTTTAGTACAGTACCTACTTTCTGCCACCTACAGTTGGTTTCAATTGAACATTTGGATATGGTGTTTACATGGGGCACAAGAAACCTGGTTATTTATATCCCAGTTTCCTCATTCCCTTTCACTATCGTTGGTTCACAAACTAGTGTAATGTTAACTGCCTCCTTCAAACATGCTTTCTCACTGCCCACGCACATCTGACAGGATGCTTATTGTTACACCACCCCACAGCAGTTGTTGTTGGAGCACTATGCGTTTGTGCCCTCCCCATTTTGTCTGATGTGGAAAACCACCAGCACATGTGGACATCGCATGGGATAAAAACTTCTTCCCTGCGTGCCACATCTCTCATCATCAACCCCAATTTCCAACCCACCAAAAAGCCCCCTGCTCCTCCTTTTGCTCTCATGGTGGTATTTTCTCAAACTCCCGGCTGATTCATGGCTGGCGGGTCCGGCCGAAATACAATAACTGAGGCTGAGTTGTCGTCAGGGCTGTCAGAAATCCAGAGGTGTCGCTGGACTGGACAGCGGTGAAGGACAAGCTATTGAAAATGGTTAGCTCAGCTTGCGATTGCACTGAGGGAATTTGTTTTTACACCAAACACAGCATGGCAGAGGCACTGGCCGGGTGAGAGTGTGGGTGGGTACAGTCAGGGGTTTTTGGCCGAGTCAGTGATGTGGCTGGGGGTGGATGACACCCTCTATCCAAGACGCTTCATGGGGTGTGTTGCTTAAGGGACCTCCTGCTAATTAAAGACAGCTGGCCCGAATAAATGAGATAATTAAACCATGTTCACTCCACAGAAAGCTCTTTGCCTTTTAATGCACTATTATCATTTATTTATCTAAAGCATCGGACTTCAAAATAGCACATTCGTTGTGCCAGTGAGCAGGCTGAGGTGTGAAACAGTTTATAAGCTGAACTTTCAGAGCAACGAGGTCATCTCTGCTACACAAACATCTCCCAGATGGCTGCAAGAACTGTGGAAGCAGAGGAGGCGGAGGCCTCTGGCTTGGCCAGCAAGGGGACCCACCGATGCCAAAGTAACCAAGGGACAGTGGGAAGACGGCTGTGTGTGTGTGTGTGTCTTATATTCAAAAATACAACGGTTTGTAATTGCATAATTGCTAAAATATGAATCACTTTTTGTTGAACTTACCTCCTTGTTTTAATAGTGGAGCAATAGGCACAAGCCTGTGTGTGTGTGTGTGTGTGTTTGTGTGTGTGTTTGTGTGTGTGTGTGTATGTACATGTATGTGTGTGCACATTGCTTTTCTTCAGTGAAATACCACTGATATTTTGTCAAGATTCACTGTCACTGGGATTGTGTGTGTACTCTTGCTTTTCAGACTTGCTTTTTGGGTTAAAGTTAGGTTAGGTTCAGGTTAAGAGCACAGTAACAGTTGGGCAGTTAGACATGTAGACATGATGGCTGGGATCAGAGGACAGGGAGTGCATTGTGGCTACACTCACAATAGTCTCTATAAACGTTTCGCTCGATAGAGACTGGACTTTCTCCCAGCTTTCGTTACTAAAAACTGTGTAGAAACAATTCGAAAGTAAAAAAAAACCTTCAGTGCAGAACAAATCCAAGATCTTTAGGTCAGTGACATGCAGAAGTTGTGTGCTTGT